CTTCTGAGTATTGTTAAAACACTCAATGAATGCTTTTATACATTCCAGAGAAAATATAATATAACAGAGGTTCTGTCATGAAACACCTAACTATGACAACTGTCACGTTGTAAGAAACTATAATGAATCAACAGCGATATACACTTCACTGGTAATATGAAAAAGTTTCTGATGCGTTGGCTTGCAGGGATTACAAAATAACACCAGTTAGATGGTCGCTTACAGCCAGGAGTACTGGAATACCGTTTCATGCAAGTTTGGGTGTATTCGATGGTGTACAGTCATGACCCCACCAAGGATAGCGTAAAGAGCTTCCAGGTGGCTAGGTCAGGTGACTTACTTACGAGAGCATGAAGTTGCTTGGGGTTCTAGTGAGAAGTCATGACCAGTGGGGTTCATCAAGTCCGGTATGAGGACAGCCAGTAACGATGGGTGGCAGCAGTGTTATATACTACAAATTGACTATTGGATTGAATTGTCAACGGGCTCGGCTTGTGACATGAAGGTACTGGCTTTGATTCTTTATGGAGTCACGTGCAGGTACCGCTGAAGGGTATGGAAATAGGATAAAACAGCTATTCAGTAGTCCCTCATTTTCAGGGGTAACTGTGACTGATGTCAGTTAAAATATAAGGATTATTTCTACTTTAGTGTGATCTTTAAACTTGAAGATAAGTGAGATGTTTCAGTTTTACACCAAGATATCATATTCAGAGATGGTGAACTAAAGATGTTCATTCATAGACTTCCCAAGAAATACAACAGAAATCTGTTTTAGGTAAAGTATCTTTTTTATTTTGCAATGAAATTTATCCTTGAGTTACAACTGTGACAAGTAATCATAATGTGTGTCAAAGTGATAATATAGGAAATAAGTAAAACCAAGCGTCAGCTTTAAGAAGCCTTATTTAAACGATATATTTATTATTTTGTTAAAAGATATCCAGCAGTTGTCGTTGCATCTGAAAATAGAACACAAAAAAGAAATACATGGCATTCAATGAAGTTGTTAATGCTGGTGAACATTAAACAGTTTGTTTATTTTAAATGGTATCCATACTGGCTGGAGACAAGAATGCTTTCATTGCCTGATCGTGTACTGGATGTCAGAAGATTGGAGAAATGCTATCAAAAGTATTGATGTACATTATATTAACGTTTATTTACAAACTGTGGCATCAAGTGATAATGTGTAAATTGCTGAAAAGATATTTTTGCTGATCTCCTTGTTCTATTCTCTCTCACGACCCGATGGGTGATTTCGACGAATTGTATGTCTGTTTAGTTATTCGTTGAAGGATAAACAATGCCACTGTCTAACCGTCTTCCGTTGTTCTGCGTCGGTTATGCTGCATAGTATTCTGCGTATTAGGCTTAGTCTTTTTATAAACTAACGATAGGTCGGGGATCTTTGCGATTTGGATATTTGGATAGGTGGTTTGAGACAAATTAAGAAATAGTCACCTGATAAAGGTCATTCTGTTTGCACAGTTTACTTACACTTTGGACTAATTTACTAATGTGGAGTAAGTATGCCACTGGCTAAAATCTGTTAAATTATAGGCAGCAGTTGGACGTCAGCCCTTGGGTGACATGCCGGAGTTCGTATGAAGAAGAAAATATGAAAGTTCATAGTCAGTCGTACAGCCAGCTAAAGACGGGTGTAAAGAATAGGAGATGTGCTTTTGAATCCATATCTATCACTCGGAACCTTAGGCAGTAATAATGACGATATGTTTTACCTCTGTTAACATATCTGCTCCTAGTGAGGATGCTTCGGCGATGTCTGAGGATTAACTTGAAGAAGTTTGGTGGATAGTGACAATCAGCAGAATCCAGGATGAGCATTTCGCCCTATTCTGGACTCGTCACTTTAATGTACCTTTACAGTAGGTGGCTGTCGTGAAACAGGTTTTCTAGCGTATAACGCTTCAGCATTTGAAACAATGGGTACTGGTTTTGAACTTCATTGGAAATACCATCAATCACTGGTGAATGAAGGCATATCTAGCAGATAAAATCCGCATAAATCCTGTTGAATACTCTGACCAATACATACTTGAATTCTGCCGAGTTACTATGTGATATTTCACTAGTTAAATTACTTTGCCTGATGCGCTATGGAAAGGTCTGTCAACTTAATTATTTTAGAAAGGATCTGATGGCTTGATGTTCTGTAAAGGCTACTAAGTACATTCCCTGATATTACTTAAAAACAGGGTAATATTGCGAAGGTTTTTAACTCTATTTTTAGTTGTGTTTCAACTATCACTTATGTTACTATTTCTTAATTAGATTGTATAAACGTTTTAATAAATTCTCTGGGATAACTGTCGAGTAGTTTTGAATTATTTTATTGATTTTTTCGGAATACTAATCATGAAAGAGAGACTGACTACTAGGTCATCGTTTATAGAATCTACAAGAAACACTTACACTCAAAATACTTTAACACCCACTTCAGTGTTGTTCTACATCACCAAATAAACAAACTGGCCTGATTACCAGATAACATTAGTTAGCATACCATTGGAATATACCATGAAGTACTGGACAGTTGTTTTATTTTATCTTAGGACGTTTCAGCAGTACACGCCCAATTGTGGTTCAAACCTAAGACCTTCCGCTAGTAGACTATTAAGCCACTGAAGGTCAACTTAATGGCCTTTAATTTCTAGCTGCTTCCGGAAGGTCTTAGGTGCGTGTCATTGAGGAGTCCCAAACCAGGATGAAACAGCTTTTCAATCGTTCTCTAAATGATATCAGCTCGTGACCAAGCCTTTGAACAATCAAACTCCTGTAAATCAGCGCTTGATTAATAATGAAAATCTAACGCAATATCACACTCTACTCTTAGATTAATAGTACTTCTAAGTTCTCAGGAATTTCCATACTAAAAACAAATTGGATGATAAAGCATAGATAATACCTTTTTAGTAGGATACAAACAACATTCACTACAAAGCATCCTGAACAAGCTCCTTTTAACTGAACCGGTTTTCAGTCTTTGAAATCTTACCTCAATGAAAATATTCGCAAGCATCATCAGTGTGTCTTTACACTAGAAGTTAAGATGGATAGAAAACAAACAAAAATATGTATGAATAATAATGAGATAACTTTTATATTTTGACATTTTATTACACAGTTGACGCGTCCCACTCTCCGTGAAGTTAACTCTTTCACTTATCCAGACAGTAACATTTCAGTGACAGGTGACTGGCTGCAAGGATGAGGATGTCAAAAAGCCAGTCAGCATTGGGAAGGCAAGACAGACGCTTATAAATCTGAAATCCGTGTGCAAAATTCTACTACAACAAGATTCGGATTTTTAGGCACTAGTGTCAGAGGTCAATTAGCGCTATTCTGTGGGTCACCGACTTGACATGAGCGTTAACAAAAGCATTTCAAATAGTCTGATGCAGACATTCATTGAAAACTTTCTTCACTGGCTTCATAATAAGGATCAAGATTAGCAGCAAGGAATACTGCCAAGTAACGAATCAACCTAGAGTCGATTGTCCAACAAATATGACGACGAAAATGAAGATGAACTGAACATGCACTGAGGAGAATGTTGAATGACATTACGCGCGCCAGACCATTGATTAGAGCCCGAAATGGAAGCGGTCAGTTTGGCATGTGTCCAAGGGTGATATAGAGGCGGTCATGTGAAGGAAGGAGATGAGAGCCTATGGTCAATGGTAGAGCCAGAAAAAGACGAGTGCAGAAAACTGGATGAAAAGGGGGAGTGCCACTGAAGCCTGATGTCCCACTCGGAATAATAATAGTAGCGATTCCGTGTGATAATGAAATTATTTTGCGCGTTTGCATAACGCACTTGAAACTTAAATTGTGTTTAAGTTTCCTCATAATTTGGTTTAATGTTAGACTGTTAGAAACAGTTAGCACCGTATGCTAAATTCAAATTCGTTTCTGCCTCTTTTTTTAGCAGAACAGTGGAACACAATTTTTCAGAATAGCCTAAAGTTTTTTCTCTGAAAGACAAATGTTTATCAACTATCTTCTGTCTTTATTAAACATAAAGGAAAATTGATTGGAAAGTTACTCTGATCACCAACTGACATCCATCGGTGAACCAGCAGAAACTGATGGGACTGCAGGCAAATATCCTGTTCTCGTTTGTAGATAAAGACACTTACTGACGGAAAACGAAAAAAGATACATGATGGCGTTATATATAAGGCTGATTTTCAGAACTGATCATTTTGACGGTTGGCAGTGTGCTGACTGATGCCAGTGTCCACTGTTGGTTACCAAAAAACAGCGTGCCGATCAAGTATACAATATCTTTATTAAATTAAATGAAATCTGATGTGAGTCATGCGATGAGTGCCACTAGCCCACAAGTACATCTTCAGTCATGCAGAAGCTCAACTCATATTACTGAAGACAGCTCATTCAACGTGATTCAACGATATCAGTGAACACGAAATTCTCATAGTATTATACTCTAAAGAGTGAGTTTTTCCTTGATCACGAAATCTTCACTCAATATTTGCTTCTACTCACCTCCAGTCGTTGCATATAATCTTTCGTATTTTTCGTATTCATTTACGTTCCCAGCAGAACACAGTGCTTCATGCTACAGCTCCGAAGTTCCAGTAACAACATTTGTTAACCTCATTCCTAACCTTCCCTCTATACCGGCCTTAGCACCAGTTTGGCTAGGTAAAGCAGTGCGTCAATGGCCAGGGATCGAACTCTGGACTATGTGCATGGTTGGCGAGTGTTCTACCATTGAACCCCAAAGCACTGCATATAATGCAGTCTTATGTATGTGACAGGTATATTAAGGTATTCACGACACCCAGAATCAGCGAGTTTAGTTTACTTGCTGTATTGTCAAACTATCACTTCACTTCAGATTAAACTCACTTCGTTGAAATCTTCTACATAAGTTCTGCACAATTCTTCCGAGGTTGTTTCAACGTACTTTGGATTCATCAAGTATGTTGACGCATATTCCATGTGTTCATTTATACCTGAAAAAATGGAGTTTGTTTGTCATAGAGTGATTCAAACAAACAGTTACAGGATTTGTAATTAAAGAAGAATATTTATGTGAATAAAGCAATGAAATGCGTTTACACTTTAAATATTAAGGAAGTGCTAATGAATGAAACTGGAGTATAGATCTGGTGTCATATTTATTTTTATTCCTAAACGTTCCCAATGGAACATAGGGCTTCAAGCTAGAACTTTGGAGTTTCGGTAGCAGTGGTGGTTAAGTTTTACGGGATAGGGTTGCTGGCCTCATACCGACCTTCCCTTTTTGCCAGTCTTATTACTAGCTTAACGAGGGAAAGGAGTGGGTCGTTGGTCAGTTATTGAACCCTGAACCACAAAGTGATACTGCATTATTTACTGACGTCCAACTCAAAGGAATATGTGTATTAAACCAAAAAACAGGTTGTCTTGTTTGAAGTAGGATATACTTATTCTGATATCTATTAGGAAAACAACTGACAATTGCATTTTAGCTTTATAGGAAGCTGAATTAAAGACATTAGTGAAAGAACTCTTGAGAAGGAATGATCATCACATAGGTGATTCTTGAGGCTCCCTGTCAACGAGGTAAGTACCTTACCATTCTGAACTGTGTTGTTTTTTATTTCAGCTTCATCAATATGCAGCTATATAGTCTTCAAAATGAACCTTGTCAGTTGTAGGTAATATTCTTATTCCAAGTTGCTTCAGAAGAAGAATTTTTATCTTAATTAGAATTTACTGGTCAACAGAATTCTTTCTGTCTTCCTATGATGCGTCTAGTAGTAAAATAGAAAACAGTTCTTAATTGGATGTAGATTATTTAACTCCTGAAGCCCAGTTTGCTCCGGTTTGCCTGTCAACATACTTCGTTTGGTGCAACCAGAGGTTGGTTGATAGATTCCCTTCCTCAATTAACTCTAGTTGTGAACTAAAATTTACGTGTATCTGCGGTTGCAGTTACATTGGGAGAGCGGAAAGAAAGCGTACACTAGATTGTCTGAATATGTTCCTGAAAAGCTTATATCTCAAAGGAGTGAGTGCTATTGCCAGACATCGTGTTGATAAGGGTTATGAGGTGGACACTGTGAAATCCTTCAAGATTATTAATAGACAATATGACTAAACTCTCCTCAAATTCGCTGAAGCAATTTCTGTCAAACGCGTAAAACCCTGATTTATATGTTGAGAAAGATTCAGTTATAAGTTTTACCTAGCCCTGGTAAGTCATTGCCTGATCTCTTCTCCTCATCAAATTTTGCTTAGACCAATCCCCTATTTTTGTTTTAACGTAATTCCCTTTATTCATTTTTAGTTTTAATGACGGCTTAAGCTCAGTACACTGGTGCGCAACTGATCGGCAATTTATTATCAACAACTCATTCGTATCTTGACCGTACAACTCAATTTTCAATGTATCCGACAATTGATTCTGCATGTTTGTACTCTGTTAAACTTTTAACCTCTTTGCATAAGTTGCATAAGAGTAACTTCTGAGCAGTGTTCATTAACCTTGTTTCTCTGTTAACTAGAAATTCATGCAATCCATAAGATTTCCCTGTACATTTACATAATCATCTTTTTTAGGTTGTACACAGCTGAAGAGGAAAACACGAAATAAATGATAGCTTCATTTTATTCTGCACAAAAATTTCCGTTTGCCTTATTTCATTGAATTCGACTGAAGTATCACTTATCGTCGACATTTCTGTCATCCATCGGTAGTAATAGAGTGTTAAGAATTTGATAGGTCTATGTTACACTAATGTGATCAATAGAATACTTCATTAATCAAACATTTTACATATATACCTTCCTCTTCAGATCTACGCCTATTGTGAAGTTTCATGACATTTGAGATTTAGTTTATGTTTCAAAATTTCATCAAACTGGTGAAATTTACATAACTTACAAGATAGTTCATCACTAGAATTTGAGGATGGTTTCGTGCCATTACAAAACCCAATTTTCTGGAATCAAGTAAAAAATCACTTACATTTAATAATTGTAAAATGAAATAACAAATAAAATTCGAAAGAATGGCTACTGAACAAAGAATACTCCTTTTTTCGATAACCCCTTCTTCGTCAGGTTCTACGGTTATATGTACATAACGGTAGTGAATGAATGAATTAGTGTTATGATCAATATTAATGTTGTCTAAATAACATCGAATCAGTAATAATAATAATATCATTGGATTACAGTTCAATAGCATCAACATAACAATAAGCTGAATGTCAGAATAATTAGGAAAGATTATAATACAAATTGATGAATTTATAGTGTCCACTGAAGGCCGGCAGGGCAGTAGTGGGGGCTGGCTGGACTGATTCTTTTGTACACAAAGCACTGGTTGTTTCACATGAACCGCGATAGCCTCTGCTGTTTGAAGCATGCGGTACCCGGCTGTTTTCGGCAATTTATTTGGTACTCGGTGGAAGATAGAGAAGGATTCTTTTATGCTGGCTGGCTTTGTGGCCGGTTTGGACCAGGTAGTCTAATATCGAACTATTCATATTTCTTACTACATCTTTACTTAGCCATTCTGAGAGATGTTCTTGAGCGAGCATGAAAAATCAAGTTCCTAGAGCAATGGAGAGTATAACTCGCTCCTCCATATGAGGAGTCGAACTGCTAGATACATATAGAAGAAGCAAATTCAAGCAGTTTATCCTTATTTGTCGAATGTAAAACTGGAGTAGTTGTGAAGGGGCAGAGTGTCTTCAGTGCACTGAATGCTTCTCTTGTGGAGGTATTTACGCTTGCAGTACAATTAGTCAGGTTCATCATCGTATTTCTGAACATTATCCTGCAAGCTTAAGGTTAAGGGACAAATAAGATCTATCTATGCGTAGCTCTCTTTTAGCACACCATATAGACAGTAGACATAAAGTCGATGTTATTAGAGCACTTAAAGTTATACATATTTAACTTTGATGGCATACAATGGCTATGAAAATGTTGTCATTTTGCGTAAAGGAAAATAAATACCATTTCCAACAGTCATCTGGAGACATATTTCGTCATCATATATTGCCATAAATATAATAAATAACACTGACATTTCTGTGAGTGGCTTTTCCAATTGAATCTGAAGACCATTGATTCCTTCGTTTACTTTAGCAAAAATCGGATCAAGTGATTCAGCAAGCAGTCTCTTTTCAGCGAATTTATCACCAGGCTGTACAGTCGTTTGTAAATATATATATATATATATATATATATATATATATATTCTGACAATTGTCTGAAGTCACGTTAGTATTGACATCCTCGTCTTAATTACTTTCCCTAACTACACTAAATTTATTTTTTACAGTGACACATCAGTATACCAGTTGGGTACTTCCGTTTCTAGTCCCGCGAGCCACACGAGAGGCCACAATAGATGAGTGATTTAATTTTTAGTATGTCTTTTGAAAGTCACCCAAACAGCATCACAACAATTCATTATTTTTCTACTAACTGGAGAGTAGATGTCTTGCTTCATTTATCAAATTTATGAGGATAAACGTGGTGTTATATGTACTTTGAGCTGAAAAGTGATAATGCTGCAGAGATAAGAATCATCCATCACAACAATCATTGATTTTCAATACTTACAGAACAGAATTTATAATATTGATTTGATCAATCCAATGGTGAATTTTCTCTATTACTCCACGGTCTAAAAGTTCAGAACACTGTGAAAAGAAGGTGTACCAATAATTACATGAGAGAATATTAACAAACTAGACAGCATTTGCATTATAAAGTAATTAAAGGTGACAGAAAAACCTATCACTGGTAAGTTTTTGGGTGGAGATCATATCTGTCATGAGGTATTCTCGCGCATAGTAAAGCAAACATCCCAACATAATTCTAACTGCATCAGAAAATTTGAGAAAGCATTTTCAGAACAGCTGAACGTTACATCTGATATGATTATAGCATTTCTCTAGGTCTGTAATACAAAATTAGCTACGTGAAGATATTCAAGACCTCCTCCGTTCTACCGATAAAAGTATTTTGTAAGGAAAGTGCGGTGAGTTTCTTTAACGACAGGTTATTTCCTCGCCCGTTTTATTGTGTGAAAAGATCATTTTCCTCTATTAAAAGTGCGATTTATTTCATCGTGTAAATTAATCGAATAAATAGACATAGTTTCTGTTAGATTGGTCGGAGGATTTCATCATGAGCTGATATCAGTTAGAGAACCATTGGAAAACCAGCTGGAAGTACTTGACAACTGTTTCATCAGTCTATTTTGGGACTCCTAATCGCTACCCACCCACCACGAATAGTTCGAGCCCAGCACCTTCTGGTTTCAAGGCTACCAAGCTCGTAGACCATCAAGCCACTGGAACCCGATCCAATCGCCAGCCCATGAATTCTAACTTCTAATAATTGATGACATAGCGCCATCACTTCACAGTGTCTTCTCTGATGAGTTACTGCCTCACCTTCAACCTGCTATGCCATACTGGTCACAGCTTTCCACTAGAACTCCTGGTAACTACCTACCTGAATAAGGCCAGTCGCTAATGAGTATCATATCAATTTTTTAGTATTAGTTTTGTAGGGATTTTGTGTTTGATTGGTTGGAGGATTTCATTATGAGCTGATATGGGTTATATGTCATTTCCAGAGAAATGAATCTTTCCTTGTCTTTTTAGTATTTGACTAATGGTATGTGATAGTATTAGGACGATTATGATCAATAAACACTAGTGTATGTTGAGACGGTGTGGATAATCACTAGTGCTTTCCTAATTCTCGATATATGACCTAGAATAAATTTTCAGTTGCATAGTATTCAACCGATACGAAATTGATTATGTTCTTCGTAATGATTAATAAAGATAAATCAGTGTGACTAACATTAACTGTATTTACTACGCTGAACTATGATGAAAATACTTCGTGACTGGAGAATACACTGATGGAAATGATGGACTTAATTTTTGGTATGTACTCTATTACACGACGGATATTTCATCTCAGTGTAATTCGGTCAGTGTTGTTGTTAGTTCGAGAAATACTTTGGTTAGAGGAATCACTGCCTCAACTAAGATTCAGAGGGAACTATTGTAGGTCCTATTCACTGCTTCCACGCGATGTGAGATATTCCTCACAAAATTGAAATGGCAAACGTGAACGTCTGATGCTTACAACCGGACTGGTGAATATGAGGCTCAAATCTAGAGCAAATGGAAAACCCTAATTCCAAACCAATGGTGTACATGGCTCCACAATCCAAATGGTCATCGGAATCCATGGAGAAACAGCTGTTAATGCTGCTCCACTGGTTTGTGGATCACACTGCAAGTCAGAGGTCATAGGGTTGTCCCTTAAAAACACATCCACCCGTCTGGGCGTCGGGCCACTATTGCGGCCCTAGCAGAAACTACCAAGTATTTTGTGTTGCATCTCTTGGTGCACATAATTTTCCAAGTTTGTGTTCTATGGCCTCTTTTTAAAACCAAAATAATAGAAGTTAGATGTCACATTAACTGACATATTTTTATGACAGCTTTAATTCTTTCGATTATAGGGAGAAGATTTGACGTTTTCTCTTAGGGTATTTTCTAATAAGTAAAGCCATTTTTCTACATATTTAAACTCTATATTAAGTTTCTTTGAGAAACGTTTTGGACGCAAAACTAACTCTGAACATTCTTTTCTCATTCAGCAGTTCATTTATTCGATGTAGCATGTGTCACTCACTGTCTTCATGTTATTTGTCATAAAGTGAGTGACCATTTGAATGACCATTAGGAAGATCTGACAAATGAATAGAATCTCCTTAAACTTACCAGATTGAAGTATAGTAGATAACTTGAATAAAAATTCCTCTACCTCCATGTTAGGTAGTTTTTCACCTCGATCATAGAACACTTTAAAAAATATTGAATTTCAACCCATTGATGAAATATCAGTGTGATGATAATGACAGCTAAATACACATTCACTTCAAGATCTCACAGCTACTATAAATTAGTTTGACAACAGTATTTTATTGAGTTATTTAAACGTTTCGTCAAACTAACTTTAAAAAGACAATTTTTTCATTGTACATTTCTTCAAGAACAGGGGGCACTGAACAGCGAATTTGTGCTATTTTGGGACTTCTCACCAGGTGTCGAACGCAGAAACTCCGGGGTATTAAACCAAGCTTGCTGAACATCCATTCACTTGGGTTGAAATTCACTGACCAGTGAATTCCAACTTCTTATAAGTAAGAAATGGAAGGTCCTAGGGTCGAATCATGGTAGGTGAGTACTCATGAAGAGCCCGAAACGATGACACAGCAGCTGTCCAGTACTCCCTGGTTTTTCTAACTTATGTCAGTGCATCATTGAAGCTGTAACCAGCTAAACACCTACAAACCAACACTTTTCAATTCTAACTTTGTCAATTGGTAATATAACGCTACCCTGAAATTAGTACATCTGATGAGCATGAACTTCATCTTGAAATGGTGGACCTCACTGGTCAGAACTTCTCAGAAGAGCTTCAAGACATTGATCCATTCAGTAGCCATCAGTAGGCTGAAGATTAGTAGTTTTGATTACGGGTTATTTTTTAGAGATCTGGATTGATTTCAGTGTAAATTTCGTCATGAGCCAACAACTCCGAAGAGTCCACAAATAGGACGAAACATCCATTCAGTGCTCTCCGGTGGTTTTCAATGATCTTGACAAGTGATGTTGGTTCGTGACCGTATCTAAAGTAGATTCAATCCAAATCCCTACAAGTGCTCAGAACCCAAAAGATTACTATTCATTTCTTGAACTTAATTTTGTATTTCCCTTTGGTGGACTTTAGTGTATAAAAATTTTCAGTCTCCGCCGACGTGTCTGTTTCCACGAAGGATGCTTCGATGATGTCTGGGAATTCAGGCGATATTATTTCTTTGAAGGAGGGGGTTGACTAACAGAGGATTTCAGGACGAGAATTTCGTTGTGTTTTAGACGGGTCAGGTGGTTATGCTTGCTTGAGGGATTGTGGCTCTCATGACCCAGTTTGAGTAGTGAATAATACTTTGGTGTTTCAAGAGATGAGTAATGGATTCCAGTTTCAGAGCAAACACTATCTCTCATTGGGAATGCAGGCACATCCAACTGTCTAGTCCTAAACTGGACGAAATACGCATCATGGATTCCAACTTTGATCAATACCTATTAAATAACATTACTATGTAGCCTATATATTTAATATTTAAAAACATATTAATAAAAAAACAGGATATTTAATTCGGTGGGAAGTTATTAGCGAGATAATTTTGCTCATAAAACAACTGGAAAGTTACGTAACATACTTTTTCTCGATATTGTCTTTCAGGTAAGAAATAGCATATTGGAGATAGATATCTCAATATTATTGGTAAAAAAGGTTCATTGTCCAATATGTATTTTGTAATGTTCAATGCTGAAGTACAGACTTCACAGACTAAAAAACAAAAGAGAATATCATTGAATGTTAATCTACTTTCTGAATAGAAACTAAACTGAATAAAATGTGACAAATTTGTTTTACGAAGAAAAAAAGTAACCAGTGACGCGTTAGCTACGGTGAAAAGGAATAATGGTGAAAATTCTAAAAGATAAACTTTTGGATTACAAGGATTTCGTTGGTTAAAAGTTTGATTATGAGTTGATGATAGATGTTAGAGAACTATTGGAATTGGCAGAAGTTGGAATTCATGGTCCACTGGACTGGATCCCATGAGCTCGACCTCGAACGACCGAATCGACTGTGTAGTGCTTAGATCACTTTGATTCACCTAGAGGCAAATGTTGGTTGATATCATGAAAAAGCTGTTTGGAAAATGTCTCCTAGGCGATCTGATTACAATTCTGATACTTCTTTCGAAATGTTAATTAACTTCGTAATTGTTTTTCTCTTTTCGCCTAGACTATATGTCATTATTCTGTTGACTTAATCCTCATTATTATTTGTCTTTGTTCCTGTCGAATTTCTCTAACTTTAATGCTTCTGTTTTTAGGGTTATGTGATCATGCCGAAAAAATATGCTTTTTTACGACTGTGATTTTTGTTTGAGTGAGTCATAACCATTCTGACCTTGAACTGTCTGTAGGGATTGTGGGGTGCTTGAGTCTTACTGACAGAGTTTTCTGTCTCACCTTGTTGGGAATATCCTGCCAGATTCTCATGTACTTTTAATAGTTGATTTTGGTTTAATAACTTTGCTGTTTGGTGCTTTATTCGTGATGAGTAATTTGATCTGTATAGCTGTCTAACGGCATTGGTAAGCTGATTTTGCTATCATTGGGGTATTTCATAACTCTATGTAGTTCAAGAACGTTTTGCTTAGCCACATAGTAGAACGCAAACGGCGGTCTCCTGCGTTTAGACCATGATAGCTTGGATTTGGTCGTTGCAGTGAGTGGTAACCAAACACTCATGCCAATCAGATGATGAATTAATCATAATAGTATAGAAAATTAGATGGTACTATAAGTCAAACTACTAGCTTCTTGTCAGATGGAAGTGGAAACACACTTAAAATATGCATACAGAAAGTAAGTTAGTGATACACCTTCAGTTCTTTGAGCTATTTCATGATCTTGAAAAATTCTGTATTCACAGTCACTGAGACACATCTATAAACGGAGTTGTAAATACTTAATTAGATTTCCATCAGTGGAATGAATACATTTCAAATTGAATAAATATTTCATCATGCCGAATTGATTTTAGATCTTATTTTTATTGGCGCTAAGGTACCTTGAGACTCAAGAATATTCTCATACCTGTGAAGCATATTAATCCATAAAATACCGCTAAAGTGAACATTAAAACACCAGACGACATAATGAAACTCCCCAAGACAGTTTCGATTATATCTCAGTGTGTTCATTCGAAGTACTTTTTAACTAGCCTTCAGATTCCCAAAATTTTATCATATTTCATTGGTTGGAAGATTTCCTCATAAGCTGAAATCAGTTAGAGAACCAGTGGAAAACGAGCTGCAAGTACTGGACAGCTGTTTCACCAGTCTAGTTTGAGACTCCCCACTAATACCCCACAACACGAGGGGTTCGAACTCAGCACCCTTCTGGTTACAAGGCTAGCGAGCTCGTAGACCATCAAGCCACTGGAACTCAATCCAATGGCCAGCCCATGAATTCTAACTTCTGCCAATTCATGTCATAGAGTGACCACTTCGCAATGTCTACTTGGGTGATGAGTTACTGCCTCACCTTCAACTGATGTCAGCTCATGATGAAATCCTCCAACCAACCAAAGAAAATCCCTATAAAAACCAAATACTTGAAAATTTTACCATATTTCCTTTTACAAATCATGTCTATTCTCAGTACTGAAATGTTTAATAAATAAATACTGAACATTGAATGTTTCACGTGACATTTTCTCAATATACAGTTCGATATGATAAACAGTCTTTAATCGCTGAAGTGCCATTTTGATTTATACACTCCAACTATCAGGAATAAAAATGTCAAATGTAAAGTTCATCCGAATGAAAAATTCAATTTTATAAAATGCAAGATGAACAGCTTCACTCTGAGCAGTTTTACAATTAGAGCGCTTTTCTTAAATATCCACACATAACAACTGTTAGGTTGATATGAAGAATATTCTTCTTTTGTTTTAAGGATATTCTCTACAAGTACTTAGAGTTTTCGATAGGCTAACTGTGTGATGGCTGTGAATATATTGAGCGAAATACTTCTGCACATACGATTGCAATCTGAAGGTTACTTACAAGCAAAACACTAACTGAAAAGTTGAGAAAAGTTAACTTGAAGAACGTTTAACGCCAGTAAAATTGCTGCTTATTATATTTTCAATACAACCAGTTTTGATTCCTAAACTAAAAGACGAAAAACCCTGGCTAACCAATTTTGATGGTATCTATCTATCATTTCAGCTACCCTTGTGGAGCCAGTTATATTGGTCGTGGCTCTAGGGACTTGATTTTTCGTGCTCTGTAATAGCTACGAGTCAGGCTGAATAAAGTTATTGCTAAAGTCGTCAACAGTTCTGTAATAGACCACCTGATCCAAACACGCCAAAAATCTAGCAGCACTGAAGCATCTTTTTCTATCCTCTGTTGGGTATCGAAGAAATTCCCGATGGGCCTCCAGATATCGAACACTCCACAGAACAGAAACAAGTGCAATTCGCTTAAATCAAACGGACCTGTATGTGTATAGGAACAGGTCCAGCTTTCATTGCTACCCTGACATGGTGTTGAACCTATGAATGCAACATTCTGTATTACTCCTCTCAATTTACCGGATATTCAGTTCAGTGTTGTAATGGTGCATATTATCTCTTACTGAAGCTTTTCAAATGTGATCTGTCTTTATTGTTGATTCAATGTAGTTGAAAAGATTACTTTAACTACGACGGTTGTATAAATGCAGAAACTGATGAAGAAGTTATCAAGAAGAATATTCTTTGCTCACTAACCTCAGTCTTTAGGCATCTTTTAATGGGCATCTCTAATCAATTCAGCTAAATTAGTTTAAATGTGTAAATTTATGATGATACATTCTCTTTTAATGTCAAATGTTAATGGTTGAAGGAATCTCTACAAAATTAGTATCAGTTGGCTGATAGTTAGTCATAATGATTTCAGCTCACCACAATCTTCATTAGTTTACACACACAGACATTACATTTCATAGGTGATGTCAATAGTGAGATCTTATCACAACGTCTAAGAAGGGCATTAAAAAGGACTTTCTATGCAGCTATGCTATGCTGTGTATTCCTTAGCCGACCAATACTTAGTTCAAGAAATAAAAACAGACTGCCCTGTTTCGCCTCTTCCAGTCTAACTGCCCGTGTGGATCTAGTTACATAGGACGTACGATCAAACAAGTTCATCGTCGAATTTCTGAACACCTCCCATCTGCGTTGGGCAAAGATCTGCATAAGCTATACGCAGCTCAATACCACCTCATCTCGTCAACAATCAACATCAAGCCGACTCTAACAAAGCTTTTAAAGTTATTCATTGTACATCACCTAACCTGTCGCATGCTCAACGAGTACGACCTTTACGTACAGTAGAGTTAATCGGAATTCATTCGAGCAAGTCAAATCTGTGCGTTCAAAAGAAATTTGTACAGCCCCTTTCTTCACCATGTCCAACTACTTAATATGCATTAAGTTTTTAAAAACGAGTTTTTCCCCTCCTCTTGTAACTAGCTTTTGACTTTCTTCTATAATTTTTACAATTCTAGTTAAATCTATTAACTTGTTTGTATTTTATGTAACTCTTCTGAGTCAACCTATTCTTCTTAATTATCATTGTGATTTTAAAAATTTCTTGATTATGTGATAAATTGTTGCTTATGCCCAAGAATCAACTTATGTTGAAATCCGTAGGTAATGAATTTTCCCTTTTTCTTGAAAACTCACATATCTTGCTACTAACCTCTATTAGGTAATTGTTTTGATGACCTTTACCCTCTTGATTTCAACCTCCGCCTAGGCATACCTAAAACTGATTAACTAAAATAACCACTTGATTGGTAAAACATTTTGATGTAAAAATGCAAATTTATATTCGTATAGAACCAGCCAGCCAGCCAGCCCGATGAAGAGGAACTGCTAATTGAAAAGGAATGCATATTTCTTGGCTACTAAATCTGTTATTCCCTCTAAATCTAAGTCTCTCCATACGTTATTTACTTCAGAATTCTTGCTTTGATTACACTATACAATCAGTCAGTAATTAATTTTGCTAACTCAGTTATCCTGAAGTATGACGCTATCAGTGAATCGTACATCTGAGTTAGCCTAGATTTATTGCTAAAAGTTGTACTGTACTCATAAGTTTATAAAAGTAAAAGCAAGTACCACAAGAAACAAACAAAAAAACGAAAAAACAATTCAGTACTTACATAAATTGCATTGAGGCGCTTTGGGTTTTACTAAGGGCACCTGAAAAAGGTATCAGTGAAGAAACGCAATAAATGTGAATTTCATTTCAGCTATTCATAGTACGCATTCCAGTAGGATGATGTTTGAATCAGCGAAAGGAGGACCTTCCGCTCCCTCCCAGCTCACATACAAGTAGTATACTCAGCAACTTAAGTTTGATCAATGAGTAGGGGAGAATTACTGTTCCATACTTTAGTCATTTTCTTATACTTTTTTTCAGATTTCCTCATTGGCATTAGATTTATGTGAGAATAGATTGATGATATTTAGAATGGGATAATGAAGGTTTACTAATATGACATAACTTAGGGGGGATTTTCATTCATCTCATATACTAGTGGGATAATTACGTTAGTGAATGAAAGTTACGTAAATGTTGCTAACCAGAAAAGAGATACAAGGATATCTCTACTTGTATTTTTAGTAGCAATGAGGGTAGAAAAGAATAGAAAATCGACAATGATGTTACAAAAGTTGGGGATTTTTCACAACCTCTGAATACTCATCATTGGATGATAGTCAAAGAAACATTCAGGGATGATGTTTCTTTTCCCATGAAGTAATCTGAAGAAATGTCTGCTAAAAGAATGTATAAACTTAGAAGGTCTACATTATGGACGGTAGCATACGGAAACGAATAAATTATCAGGCATTATGAATCGACTATTTATCACCATCTTGTGTATTCTACGGTTGTAAAAGTGATGTAAAATTGATTATTTTTAAGGGTCACGTTACACTAAGAATAATTATTGAATACGCCATGAAAAATCATGAGATGAGAGTCTATCTAGGAAGCACTTAAAATCAACCTTTATTAACGTGAGTTGGTTAGTTAGTTATAAGCAAGCCAAAGTATCCACACAAACATTGTTTAGGTAACTCCATTGTAGATAAAAATTTTATTTTGATAAATCACACAATATTAAATGATAACCACCTTTCGGGCACAAATTATTGCTGCTCATAGTTATCATATCAAGGCACCACTCACAGAACTTTCTTGCTTCATTTATATACATGAGTAAAAATTGATGATAAGATATTTGAATGAAAATGAATATCAGATAATGTACATTCAGAAGTAATATTAGTGTTATCAATCAAATACAGTCAGATGGGAAAAGGATGAGTGTTTCTATAGTCAAAATAAGTAACTTGTTAGAATGTTAAAATGCATGTGAACTGAAATCGAATTTTGAGATTATTTATTATCCTTCTCTGATTTGACTGACTGGCAGTAATAACATCTTCCATATCTCTGGTATTTGCATTGAGTCGTTTCTGTTGTATGTGTTGGGTGCAGACTCGATGAACCAGGCAGGATACAGTAATCAATCTCTCTCCATCTCCAGCTAACTATATTACTTCTTAGAATTTTAACCCTCTCTCACTCTATTGTGTGGCTGTGTGTTAGTGTATGCAGTGTGAATGCTGAGCTTCCTTCGAAATTACTTATCTTTGTGGGATCAATCATTCTAAACTTAGCTAAATTCTCATGTTCTGATAATCTCACTAATTCTGATCTACTAGTTTGACTGACCTACGTAGTTGACCTAACTCACAGTCATTGCAAGGTATTTTGTAAATTATATTATTTTGTCTAATTGAGTTTGTAGGTTTGAATCCCACCACCCTAATTCCTGCTTTATTGAGAATCCTACGTAGGCAGGGTTTCAGATGTCCTCTCCTTATATCGTAAAACTGTAGATGCCATATATTCTTTCTTATTTATATCATCATTATTATAGGCGGAGAGAGAGAGAGAGATTGATTACTGGATCCTTGTTCATCGAGTCTACATCTAACACATGCAATAAAAGTGACTCAACGCAAATACCAGATACAGGGAATATATTATTACCAGTTAGGTCGGAAAATAACAAATAAACTTAAAATGTATTCAATTCACATTATAACATTCTAACAAGTTACTTATTTTTACTGTAAAAAAAACTTCTATTCGCGTGTAAATTGAATCCCAACCATTAGGAATGAAATCCGATCATACAGCATAATGCAATAAGGTGTTTACTTGAGACTATATAATACGTCAGACATTAGACTTGTGCTTATTGGTGATAATCAACTCAATACGTATGTGAGTCAAAATATTCTGGAACACTGAAACCTACCGTTTTCTTACACTAATGAAAAAGGGCAGTCATTAACTTTCTTATAAGTTTAAGATTGAATGCACTAAATCTCAAAAGAGTGGAAGATATCCATTGAACTATAGTTATGTAAGGTGTTTGATGAAGGGCGTAACAGTGCATTTCAGGACTGCTATTACCTCTTATTTGAAAGTCGCCAGCCGGATGTAACCACATCCCAGTGAGTAATAGTTGTTCCTTCTGAAACTCGTAGCCAGAATTCATTCTTCAAACCTTTAATTATTGTCCATTAGTCTACTGCGCTATGTAGGATAGTTCTTGTGTACGAGGCAGTAATAGTCATCATCGAATGAAATATTTCAGTAATTATTAAATTATCTTATCATTATAAATGTTCTGTTTAGTTTTATTCAGGATTGGGATTATACAAAAAGCTTAATCATACTGCAAAAAGGAGTCCGGATTTACCTGATCGTGTTCATTGCCAATAACACCATTCGACCCTACAAATTACATGCGATGAGTTATTTTCATAAAATCATACTACTCACCACATAAAACAATCAAAGTGATGAATTCAAAGAACATAATGTCGCTTCTGTGTCACTTAATTAAAGGAGTCAAATAATCAGTTTTTTATATATACACGTATGCATATATCTATACATTCAACTTTGATCCTTAGTTAAATATAAGTGGGAACAGAGTATAAAATAAATTATAAAAAATTGAAAAATGTTTAAGTGTTTTGTTTAGTGTTTTTGTTTTGAAACAATGTAGACTGTATACTTTGTACAAAGTTCAATAGGCGTATACTGCTGATTTATTTTGAAATTCTAATTAAATAAACAATGTTATCTGTTTTTTTTAATTCTGAGTTATGTAGTTTTAGATGAACGTGTAAAATAGGATGGATTTCACAGCAGACTGGTTAAATCAATTGTTTAGGTTTTAATAGAGAAACACTAACGGAGGTGCGTCGGTGGCACAGCGGTTAGGACGCTTGCTGACCATGTACATTGTCCGGGGTTCGATCGCAGGGCACCGAATCACTCCCTTAACTCTCTAAGCCAGCAATAAAGCTGGTAAAAAGGAAAGGTTGGGCATGAGGCTAGCAACCCCATCCTGTAAAATAAAACACTGCTACAGAAACTTCAATCTGGCTCTAGCTTGAAGTCCTATATTCCACTGAAAACGTGAAGGAATAAAAAAACGGAAACACTGTTTGGTAAAACTCAAGAAATCCATTAAGTTCACAGAAACGGCGAGCATGGTGGTATGCAAGTATTCAGCTGGTTTCTACTTTCAGACACAATATCTCAAGTACTTGGAGGCAGTCGGCGGGAAATTTCGTATCTAGGTTCCGTGCTTGTTGGTACTCATGAGTCAGTGAGTGTGCTTGTGAACTTGAGGGAAATCATGCTTCGCGTCACGCCGTACTGCAGTTAGAGATGTCATTACTAACCTATGTATAAGAATTGTTGTTCTCAGAATCCGTCCTGAACGAATTATTCATGACATCATTATTATTTTCATTTAATTTCTAGAGGAACATTGGGCTTCAGCTGCACGTATTCATTGTGTTTGGTTCTCTGCTAAAGTTTCCACCTGGCTCCAGGTCTGCCCACATGCTTTCATCTCCTCTTCACATGACCTCCTCCCACTCACCCTTGGACAACCAACTTGCAGCTTCCCTTTCGGGTTCCACTTGAGCGATGGCTTGTCTAGTGATGTCACTTGATGGTTTCCTCAGAGTATGGCCAATCCATCTCCATTTATTCCTGCTTATTTGTTTCACAATCGGTTCTTGGTTGGTTCGCTCATTGCCAGAGATCCTTCTTGCTGATCCTTTCTGGCCATCTGATCTTGGTATTGAGCGAATACGACCATTAATGAAGGTTTGTAGTTTGTTTGAGGTGCTCTTTATGACGCACTGGCCAAGTCTCTGATCCGTACAGTAAGTAGCACTGACTTCACATTAGAGTTGAAAATCCGGGTCTTATTTTTGATGCTGAGTGCTGTTGACCTCCATACATGCTTGAGAGTAATGAAAGCTTGTCTTGCTTCCCCGATCCTTGCTTTGATACCCTCGTCAGTTCTGCATGTAGTTGAAGCGATGCTTATTTATACATTTCAACTGACTCTGTAATTATGGATTGGATGAAGGATTTCGTCATGAGCTGACCTCAGTTAGATAACCACTGGAAAACCTGGGAGTACTGGACAGCTGTTTCGCCCTAGTTTGGGACTCTTTGTCAGCACGCATCCATCGAAGAAGACATTACGAAGTGTTCTCGCTATGTTATTAATTGCCAGAAGTTAGAATTCATGGGCCGGCCACAAAATTAAGTCCTAGTGGCTCAATGCTGTACGAGCTCGTTTTGTAACCAGAAGGGTGCTGGGTTCAAACCCTGTGGTTGGGCATTGCCGAAGAGTCCTAAACTGGACTGGCAAAACAGCTGTTCAGTACTTCTGGGTTTTCAAATGGTCCTCTAACTGATGTCAGCTGATGATGAAGTCCTCCATCCAATCAAACAAAAATCCCTACAAAACCAACACTTGAAAATTTGTAATTATTCTTGTCTTTTCTCCTGGACTGTATACCATTGTTCAGGAGTTTGAATGTCATCGTTTGACATACGACTGTAATTGTTGTTTGAATAAGTCAAGGTTATTGTGACCTCAGAATTGTTTGATGCATGAATTCCGCTGACAGAGCTTTGATCCCATGTTGTTGGGAATATTCCATCTAATGCTCAGGTACTTCTCTTCGTTGATTTTGGTCAGATAACTCTGTTGTACGGTAACCGGCTCGTATTTCGAGGAATAATCTGATGTGTATAGTTGCCTATCAGTACTCATAAGGTGATTTTTTTAATATGTTATCATTGTTGTTAAATATTGCCTCAGATTTTATTTTAAATAACAATCTTTTTACTGTTGTTAATGAATTTTTGTACTGTGTATAACTGAAGGAATATCTGGCTAACCAGACAATGGAACGCAAAGAATGGTCTCTTGCATATTGTTTTTCGTCGTGGGACTGTAATGGGTACTTTGATTGGTCGTGAGATAATGACCAATGTCTTGCTTGCAGTCCTTGGGTTCGTACAGATTCACTTGTATTAGTCACGTTTGCAGTGTAGTCATCATGCAAGACTGACGGAATTCATTCTGTACCAGCCCAAGGACCAGACGAACGAGGTTGGTTACCTCTTGATGACGAATAAATGTATACAGAAAGGCATAACTTTATTCTTCAATGACAGTCGCTTCGTTATTCATATTTTCAGTAAATACTGTAGTTACTTAATTCGTTAGGTTGATTTTGAAACCTGAATTCTACAGAAATAAATAAAATTCTCTTTGTGATTTGTTGTTAATATATCTGAGTCAATCGGTCACCCTCACATTCAACATCTTGGCTCCTTGAATGACTGCCTCATTATTACCAGGATTATTTAGTCGAATTTATTTGCTTACTGTTAGCTAGCAGTAGAATCATAGACGCGTTTTCGGGCAATCTAAACTCGTCAGCTGAGTTCACAGCGAAAGAAGGTTTTCTCACTGAGACTAGAACCTATCAACAAACATTTAAACACCAGAGTGTTATCCATCAGGTCACTTAGCCGAAAGGAAATGATTTTGCCTTTATTTTTTCCGAAAAATTAAAAATCTTCATTTTAAAATAAATATTTACTAAGAAGCATAGCATTTTCTCTAGAATTAGCAAAATTATTTCTCTGATTGGCATAACACCACATGCCATGTGACCCACATTGGAAGGCTCCGTGATGCTTCTGATGTGAAAACAGAAGTAGAACAAGGCTTCCTACTATCATACATGGTATTCCTGATTGTGATGGAGTGGAGCACGTAACAAAGCATGAGTTGAGAGTGAGAAGACAGACAAAAACTCGACCAACAAGAAGATCTTACAATATCTAGAATTCACGGATTATTTATGCGTGGTATCACACACTCAAAGATCTACAGGCTAAAGCCAACAAGTTGGTCATAGGGCAGGCAGTGAAGACAGGACTTCAAGTGGACATTCAGAAGAGAGAGGTGGTGGAGATACCTAACTATCATCGAACACAACAACAAGCACCAATCACCATCGAAGGGAGAAATCTGAAGAAATTCTCTTATTACACTTATCTAGGCACTTTCGTTTAAACTACAGGCATCAGCTTGGATTAAGTTATTAAAGACAGGACTTTAGAAGCAAGACAGAGTAGGCGTAGTGAACAAGATTCAGATGTGCTATTCTAATGTCAAGTTAATCAGTGTTCCTGTATGGTTCAGAGACTTGCAGCGTGTGTCACCAAAAGCGTTTCCTACAGGCTGTTGAAGATACCTACCAGTAGCTTCATTCACTAAATATTGAAGATCAGATGGCTGGTTGGAAAGGATTGGCAACAAAGAACGCTTCAGACGAAGCAACCAACAACTTTTTGTCCAACAAATCTGACGGAGAAAGAGGAGATGGATCAAATATATGTTTAGAAGATCGTTGAGTGAAATCACGTGCCAGGTTAGCAAGAGGAACTCGAATGTGAAATGATAAGTTGGGCATGGGTCTTCGGGTGACATGGAGGAGATCGTATGAGGTGTACACGAAAGCTTATGTGCAATCGTGGAATCACCTAAAGAGAGCTGCAGAGAACAGGATAAATGGAGACGTGATGTTGATGTCGTATGTTCCACTCAGAACCTAAGAAAATAATAATAATTATATTTTCTATTCTGTGTTGGAAATTACACATCTAAATTTACTCTAATAGTTTCTGGCACTGCTGAAGATGACCTGTTTCATCAAACCGCAGTGTGACAGCATCTATGTGAGTGGATTTGGTTGCCCTGAATATATTGTTTCAATAGATATATTTGTAGGTTTTTCTATCGTTGGTTTGTAAGATTAGTTTCTTTTTTTTACGAGTTGATCATGAATTGATATCAGTCCAGTACTCCCTGATTTTCAATGGTACTCTAAATGATATTTGTAGGTATAGTATAACTTCTTTTATTATGCGACACACGGTCACCAAAATGGCTGGTCAGAATTAATGTGTGATAACAACTGACTATACTCTCTGGGATGATGAGTTTAGCTGGTGAACAAGGGAAACGGCTGTCGGATGCTTAGGCCATTTTGATCTGACTAACAAGCATTACAGTTTTTTTTATAAAAATGGTTTTGACTACTCAAATCTATCAGTAATGTGTGTTATTTTTTACAAATTACTAATCTTCGCGTAGTAAGTCACTCTGTACTTAACCAAATTCTAATGTTCTGACAATCTGACTACTCCTAGGTTAGAATGACTGATCCCACGATGATAAGTAATTTAGAAAAAATCTCAGCAACTGCACTGCATGCATGAACACACAAGTGTACTGTAGGGTGTGAGAGAGAGCTGATATTCCAAAAAGTAATATTGGTAGGTGGCCAGAGGGGGAGAGAGGGAGGTTGATTACTGAATCCTGGTTCATCGAGTATACACCCAACACATGCAGTAGGAATGACTCGGCACTCATAACAGAAATATGGTAAATACTACTACCAATCAAATCAAAAGATGAGA